CAATTTATATAGTTTTCTGTATTTTTAAAATACTTGTTTATCTATTTTATTTAAAATGGATTCGAAAGACCCATTTTGCATTTTGCATTGTAAATACTTTTTAAAAGTATTTTATAATTAGTATGTTACATGGAATTCAAAAGACATTTTACCCAGCTCTGATTAACCCTAGCTATATACACTGGGGATCCAAAAACCTCAGTGCCTAGATATAAAAAAAAAACATAGATTTATTATATTATATTTGCTAAATCGAGATTTTTTTGTGTTTCTGAATTTCTTTTTCTTTGAACCTATACATCTTGAATTCTATCGACTTTTACACATTATGGATTTATTCCTTAATCAATTTTCCATAGATCGAAAAAAAAGTAATTGAAATATATTCTTTTACGAAATTTGAGTTAATAAATGAATCTCAGGAACCCGAGTGTATATCAAGGGTAAAAAGAAAGTGTGTATAACGAAAATGGATTGAAAATTTCAATCCATTTGCTGGGTTTGATATGAAGCTACGATTATAATAAATAATGAGCATTCCTGTTTAGATGAAATATATGTGATTCTTTTTATAATGATATATATTAATACTTAATTACAAGAATGTAATCAGTTTTGTTATCATTGTCATATTTGAATAACATATCATTTATGTGAAAATTATTATCATATAATCCCGTTAAATTATTCATCCTCAGAGTTTAATTCCAGTTCTATTAATTTGATGTATAAATTTAATCAAAGAATTTAGCTTTTTTTCCTAATATTCAATAATAAAAATCACATAAACATAAAATTGTATGAAATTATATAAAACCGTATAAATATTGGCTCTGAACAGCGCAATTTGTACTTATATTTTTCATTTTTTGTTTAACATTTTCAATCTTTTTTTCATATTGAATACTTCATCTTGTTATTGTATATCAGAGAGAAATCTGATGAGAGTCGCGTATGTCCCGGCCTGTTTCGTGTATCAAATCTCGTAGGATAATGTCTAATTTTTGTGGTTCTCTTTCGTGCTATTACAAGGCTATCAAAGTTAATTATTCATCTTTGTCTAATCCATGTAATAGCATGGAAGAGAATCACAAAAACGTGGAAATTACCCTACGAGATTTGGTATATAAAAAAAGTCGGTATAACCTCTCTCAGATCTCTCTTGTTATATACACGGGTAAACTAGAGTCGTTGAATCAGCTTTTTACTCTATGAGAAAATTATCGACTGCACGCACGTTATAATCGAATTAGGTATGAAGTCGATAATTATCTCATAGAGTAAAAAGTTAATTCAATGACTCTGATTCATCCTGTATAAAAAAATGTCTTGAACATAAAAAAAAAATATTGCCGTTTATGTATCTTATATATATATATATAATTTTGTTTAAATATAGGAAATTTACTTTGATTATTAAACGATCTATTTTTGTTCATAAAAGGAATTGTTTTAGGAGATACAGTTACCGCAAATTACAACTTCAACATTTTATTAATAATGATTGGTTATTATTGCTAATATAAATAAGCATTATGATAATTTTTTGCGTCAATAACGCATCTGAGTAAGGCGTATTCCTTAGAAAAATAATATGTATAAAAAGTGATATTATGTGACGTAACAAATTACAATCATCTGTTTCTCTCTTTTTCTGGCTTCTATATCCTTTCGTTATTTATTTTATGTAATACTGCGGTAATTCAGCGCTTTTATACGTAAGAACGGAAAAACTGTTTCAGCCGAAAGATATTCAGCTGAAAGATATTCTCTGCCATAGGAATGAGCCGCGTATCTCTTAATCGAATAATCGATATAAATTTGTGAATATAATCGAGATAAACACGATGATGCTACGTGCATATCGATTTAACTGCAACAACTTTGCGGCTTAGGATCCAAGCCTGAACGTTTGGTAATATTTATGCGCGTAAACTCCTCCGCTACAGTTGGATGAATACCGACAGTAGACTTCAGTTTCGGGATTGTTAAGCCACATCTATAAAAATATTATGAAATATAAGTTATGGAGTTCTGAAATCAAATTTTTGAAATTATTGACAAATCATTTTTTGGATAAAACTTACTTAATAGCAGCCGCAAATCCTTGAATCACTTCGCCTGCATTGGGCCCCACAAAGTGCATTCCGAGTACCGTTTCATCACCGTGTCTAAGCGCGACAACCTTTATGTAACAACGATCGACAATCTTTTGGGGTACAAAGAATTCCGTTGGTTTATAATACGCGTGGAAAATCTCTATCTCCTGTTCTCCGTGGAGCGCGATTGCCGCTTCTTCGCTCAACCCGATGCATCCATATTCCAAAGGAGTGAACACTGTCGTCGCTACATTTATGTAGTCCATTTGCTCCGTCGAATTACCATACAATCTTCTGGCTAGCAGTTTACCCGCGTGTATAGCAACGGGCGTTAATTCAGGTTTTTTCTGTAAAAAATACAAAAAATGATCACGTTTTATATTACAATAAAATTTTCTATTATATTTGTAATTTAACTCATAATTTAATATGAAAAATATTAAAATGATAAAAAATATCTAGAACTATCTAAACTGTGCACTAATCTATTTTCGAGATAAAATCGTTATAAAATGTTGAAAACACTTACATGAAGTACGTCACCAACCGCGTAAATGTTTGGAACGTTCGTTTGTTCGTTAACTGCGTCAATCTTACCGGTTTCTGGAACAAGTTTCAATCCAGCATTTTCCGGTTTCAGTTCTTGAGTAAGCGATTGTCGGCCGATAGCAAATAGAACAGTATCATATACGTCTTGATGAATTTGACCATCCTAAAAATTATATTGCATTCTAATGTAGACTTATTTTTTCATTTGCACATATAAGTTTGTCAACAAATACATACCTTGTCGATCCAGTCGACTACAAGACGGCCATCCTCTTGTTTAGAAACTTTTTTAACCTTTGTCTGATAATTAAACTTCACACCGCGTTGCTGCATCTCTTCGACAATATGGGTTGCCATTTGCTGATCAAATCCACGTAACGCCAACGATCGAATTATTAGCGTTATATCGTAACCTAAGCCATTTAGAAAGCCAGCACATTCCAGACCAATATCTATATTTCATTATTAAGGAAAAAAAATCTTTAATCTGCACGTTTCTGCATAATTACAATAGAAAATCTAAAAACAAGATCGCGTAAAATGCCGTTGAAGGATACATCCAGCACCGACAATAAGGGTTTTCCCTGGAGCGCGTTCCAAACTGAAGATGTCGTCGCTAGTTATACCATATTCTTTAGCACCAGGAATATCGGGATACTTAGGTCTACCACCTACTGCAATTAATATATTTTTAGCTGTAAGAATTTTTTCTTCCCCCTTTTTGGTAATTCCAACTACTGTGTGTGCGTCCTTGAAATGTCCAAGAGCATTGAAGTATTCAACTTTCCTATAAGTAAATATTTAATATAAATAAGTAATTACATATAGATCAAATAAACAAGAATTAAATAATATAGATATGAATAACATGAATTGATACATAAAAATGAATAATATGGCCATTAATTGATACATAAACAGAAAAATTAGAAAATACTTCTAATTATAAATAACTAACTTTGTCCTAAGCTCAACACGAGTGACCCAGTTTACAGACTTGACATGATTTTGTACAGCGGTTCTCAAGGCTTCCCAGTCGATTTTCACAGACTTAGGATCCAACTGCCAACCAAATGTTGCTGCTTCCTAAAAACGCGATGATTCACAGATTAGACATGAATCTTTTACATCATTTTAATCACAATTAGCTTTCCATTTTTATTCAATGATACTGATATGAAACTAAAGTTATTTTATATTCAAATAAAAATGATGTCACTACTTTGGTGATAAAGTTATTGCATAACAACACGCAAGTTTATAATCTCACTCTTAACATGATTTAATAAAATTCAGTAAAACACGCAGTCCCAAGTTCATGCAGATTATAGGTAAAAACTCAGTTGACTCTCACTTTTCAGAAAAGAAACTTGCATTCAATGAATTAAATAAACGAGTTACTTTAAATGAGAATTATCTAAGTTTTAATGTAAATGGAAAGTAAATAATAATTAGGAACGTTTGTATACATGAATAGCTTCACCGAGCAACGCAGCTTGATGCATGAGTTTTTTCGGTATACATCCCACATTGACACAGGTACCACCCAAACCCCAAGTAGTTCCTAGAGGAGAAGGAGTCACATAATCCAAAACTGCGACTTTCGCCCCTAGTCCAACAGCTTCCTTAGCTGCTGCCAAGCCACCGGATCCTCCACCAATGACCAAGAGATCATAATCATAGCCATGATCCGCTGAAAGATAATTTCAACTGTATATCATCAAGGAAGACTTTTCAACAAAGTAAATTCTAAAAAAAAAAAAAAAATTAAGCAAGAAAATAAAAAAGTTTTCCATAGACAACACGGACTAGAAAACTTCTAGAAAAGCATCGCGTAGAGGACACGTGAAAATCTCTTATCCTTGGAAATGAAAGTAAACAGTCGTGAGAAACCTTTCGAATTCGCGTAACTCCGCAAGTGGCGCAATGTTTTTTACGTAACAAATCGCAATCGTTAATTATTCACATTCATTTCCCTAAACACTCACTGCACATGCAGGCCATCGCGCTTCTGCCGTAGACGAGACCGGTATCGCATCCGGCAAAGAGCGGCTGCCGACCTGCCGTTAACCTGAGCAACTTGGCGTGCGCGCATCGAGATGAAACGAGCCGCGCGAACACCGTCAGTGTCGCCATGACCATCGGCGACATGCAATTCACGATTGTCGGAGCACGTGACGTCAGCCGTCAGTGACGTTCCGCGCTGCGCACCGACGAGAGTGAGGACTCCGAGGCGCGTGTCGTCGGACTTAACCGCGCCCCCCGTACACTCCCCCCGCGCTCTCCTCATCCGCGGTTCACCACGACGCCGGTCTTGATCAGTCTTGGTGATCTTGGTATCCGGCAACCGAGCAACCGAGCGCGATGAGATCGATCCTTATAACCGGCTGCAACCGCGGTCTGGGTTTGGGCCTGGTGAGACATCTGGTCGACTCACCGAGACCGCCGGACTACATCTTCGCGACTTGCCGTGACGCAAGCAAGGCGACGGTAAGATCGCGGGGTGGGACGGGGGGGGGGTATACATTCCGTTTTGTTCGAATCGAAAAAGAAATCTGTCTAATTGTCTGACTAATTGTTACGCAACTTACCTACTTTGCGGGGAGGGAAAAAACGATACTTACCGATCGGTGCCATCGCGACTCTTTTTGCTCCTTTTGTAAAAGAAAAAATTTTTCCCACTATTTATCTTACGCGTCACTGGAATGTCAAACTGTTTAAAGTCTCTTGTTGTTTGACCCAACTGAAATCACAATGCGAGCAATGGTTAAGTCACACTGACACCACGAATCGCCTACGTCACCGATGAACGCGTCCTCGTAACTGTAAGTTTCCTCCGTTACCGCCATCTATTATACGTTCCTCGTCATCCTCCACGTTTTTCCCCTCTCAACGTCGCTATGAATCAACGAACGCAACACTCCGTAACACTCGATTTCAATATCGTTGCGCAAGTCGACCGACGTCCATTTTTACCAAGGCAGATTAATCACTCTTATTTAACGTACTATTTATTCTTTTCTAATTTTTAGTACCAGGAAAAGAGATAAAGTAAGTTAACTCAAGACTAAAGTTAATCTATATTAGTAGAAACAAGCATTAGAGAGAATCTCGACACTCTAAAAAGTGAAATCTCATTCTTGAGGACTGAAAATTAAGCCACTCTTTTTCAAGAGTTAAAATTAAAGTTACTTTTGTCACATATAAAGTTATCTTACTTAAAGTGGAGATTCCACTTTAAAAAATGTAGAGACTACACTGGTAGAAATTAATCTTCTTATAATTCTTACTCTTCTGGTTCTACAAATTATGCTCGATTTTATATACCAATACAAATTAACTTTAATCTTGATTTACTTCTTTTTTTTTCTAGTTTTACGAATTAAAAAAAAA